TCCCTGGTCACATCTCCCCCCACACCTGTCTGGGAGGTTCATCCACCTGAAAGGGGCAGATCCAAGGTGCAAACCTGCTGCACAGCCCAGGCTGGGTGGTTCCTGTGCCTCCCACTCTGTCACTCATCGCTGCATCCAAGGCTGCTGCTCCTCAAACACAGCACCAGGAATAGCAGCTCCCACTGCCCACATAGCAGGATGATCCTGGTAACCAGCAACGCTCACATCGAGGAGGAGCAGGCCTTTATGCTGTTACTAAATGAGTTGCCTTCCAAATTATTAGCAGCATCGAGGAGCTGGGAGCACATTTCTCAGACAATCAAGATAATTCTGGCTTTTGTAATTTGTTCCAGACAGCCTGAGACATCCGTACCCGCACGGAGACTTTGTGCACATCATTTGGCAGCTCCGGGCCTGGCACACGCTGTCTCTGCCAGTCCCACCCAGAGATCCAGGCTGCTGATCCAACTGGCTCAAGAAGCCACCAGGACTCTTCGAGAGTGTTTAATCCAGGCTGATTTGAAGCCAAAAGAAATTAATTCTGCTCATAAAGGGCAGAGCACGATCCTGTCAAGCTCTCCATTATTTCATAGAGGCCTTTAGCCACTCTTGGTGTTGGACAAACACCACATGGCTGTGGTCACTCCATGGGGATGTGGCAGAACTGGGAAATGACCAGAGCAGCAGCAAAGGCTGTGGTGCACAGAAAAGCCCTCAGGTCTAGGGAGGTCGAGCAGCATAAATCTCTGCCTGGGGAAAAGCTGACATTTCATAAAACCATAGGCATTCAGAAAAAATAATTATTCTTCAAACCTTACTAGAAGGCACCGAGGGGAATCTCAGGTAGCTGGTGATGAAATAGGGACAAGCAGCCCCTTTCTTGGGGTATGGAATTAAACCCTAAAGCCCATTATTCATGATATGGGAAAACAGAAGTATAAACAAGCTCCAAAACACAACTGAGGGCAGACCCCTTGGATATCACAGTTCAAAAGCATTTTATCCCCCTGAAAAACCCCTAGACATCTGAATTTTGGGAATCAAAGATCAATTTTGTTTTGTCCACACCTTGTTCCCCATTCTTCCCCTCAGCACACAGCCCTTGACACCAGCTCCGTGCAAACCCAGCAGTTCTTCAGGCTTTGCATCCAAAACCCAGGAGAAAACCTCCCATGAACTCCAAGAGGAAAAGGTCTGAACCCTCCAGGCCCTGAATCAGAGCTCATGGCTCCAGCTGAGGAATTTGGGAACAGGACAAATTTGTTCCCAAAACAACTGTGGATTTCTAAAATATTCAACCCAAAACACGTGGCAGCAACAGAGTGAAAAAGTCCCTTTGCTTCCACCTTGGAAAAAGTGCATTAAGATCATCCAGTCCCACGCCAAAGAGAAACTGCATTTTTGTGTGATTTAGAGCTGCTAATGAGTGATGTCACCACTGGAGCCAGTGCAATCTCACAGAAACGTGGAAATAAAATGAGCAGGATTTATAAAATGTGTGGTTTTGTCCCCAGCAGCAACAGGCTCATCCCAGCAGGGGCAGCTTTCATTGAGACTCATCTACAACTGGTGGAGATCACAAGAAATAACTAAAAAAAAATCACAGAGGTAACAAAATCTTCCAAAGAGAGCAACTAACTTATTCCTTTCCCAGGCCTTTGTTAACAGCACATCCACAGGTTTCCTTGGAAGCAAATGAGAAATAGGCACCACAGCATTGCTGGGAAAAGAAACTGAGGGAGTGTTTTCTGGAACAACAAACCAAAGCCATTTTGGGCCACTATCTGTTAGACTCGAGTTTAGCTCAATAAGATATTGATCCTGGCTGCATGGAACACAGCCCTGATGTATTTCCTGATTAACAAGTTCTGCTGTCTGCTTTTGACAAACGAAATCTCCCTCATTGCAAGTAGATAAAAAATATATTTATCAATAATTCCAGGGTGCAGGCATTGAGTAGCCCAAAAAAATAAATAAATAAATAAAGGGTTGGAAAAAGCAGGTGGGAAGGATTGCTGCGTGATCACTGGAATATTTACACAAGGCTAAGTTCAATCAATGCAGAGCCTTCCCCCACAGCCTCCTCCAAAGCACACCCAGACTCTGGCTGGCCTTTTTCCTATGGAAACAGAGAATGAGAGCAGAGCTGCTCTTCGCTTTTCTGGTGCTTAGCTAAAAGCTGAAAATGAGATCAGGTTTTCTGACATTCACCATTTACCTTAATAAAAACAAGCACTCGGCAGGATTAGCAGGCACACAGCTCTGTGTGGGGTATCATGGAACATTTTCATGATCTTTCATGCTTACACAGAAATAAAAAAAATAAAAGAAGAGGACTCAAAATCCTTCTATAAAATTGAAGATCAATGTAAAACTGAGCTTGGGAGCTGAGCACTGCCTGGGAAACATGAAGTAGAAATCTTGCACATATGGCAAAGGAAAGCTTTTGATAGAGTAGCAAAATGATATTTCAAAAACTGATGTCCTACCTATCTATCTTTATAAGAACACATTAAGTACTGGCTTAGCACTGTCCTTTTTTATTATTCCCTAATAAATTACAGCTTGATCATTTTTTGAAACACACAGATCCGAGTCTGCCTTCCACAGAAATGAAAGTGAAGGTCCCACTCGTGTCACCACCTTACAGCCCTCCCCTGGAGGGTTTGTCAGCAGGAAATTTCTCACTCATCAAGCTGAATCTGAAGTCTCGATGCAGAAACAAGGAGGATTTTTTTCTCAAATAAACAGCCCTGCACAGGTTTCCCCTCTGACCTGAGCCCATGAGGCAGTGGGCACATGAAGGGGATGTGGCCACTGAAGGAAACCCAAGGAAGAGGAGCTCCAGGTTTCCAGCACAGCCCCATGGCAACACAGGAGTGAGCTGAGAACTTCATCATGATCTGGGCGTTGCAGAGCAAAACACAGCAGGCTACAGAGAAAACACTAATTCAACCCCCTGTGTGAAGCTGCAGAGCTTTCAATGCTCCCTCCACCTGGGCTGGAAATATTCAGAAAAGCATCAAACCAAGCATGAGTAACTCTGTTATTTTCAGTAGCTTCCCCCTAACGCCAAAAATTGGGCACGAGCTCAAGTTCCTTGTTAAATCCAGCCCTCGGATTACCAGGATTAGAGGTCTGGATTTCCTCAGTGGAGATGACTCTTGGACTTGAAGCCGATGAGTTCAGCCTTTGCCACCCCTGCACTGCTGCCTGGTGGGAAGCCCTTGTACAAGACGATTTCAGCAGGGCCCAGTTGGTGTCACCATTGGAAACAGCAGCGGTGACGTTAACAGGATGGCACTTCAAAGGAACCCGCGGGGCTGCAGATGGCACCGGGGGTCCTTGTTCCAGCTGTCTCATCAAGCTGATATTCCACAATTCTTTTCCAGGATCAAACAGTGCTGCAAGCAGCTCCCACAGCACCGGGGAGACGCCGCTCATTCCGGGAGGATCCCGTGGCCGCTTCAGCTGCAATACTTGGAATGTCTCGGGTGTAAAATAAAACCAACCAACTCTGGAGTCTTGTGTTTATGGAGGGAAAAAAAGAATAAAAGGAATTCAAGCCATGCCTAAGCAATATGGCTGGGATTCAGAAAAGCTTTTCTGTGGAGCCTGAACTTTAAGTAGAGAACCACTGGAGTCAGCTGAATTCCAGCATATAGTGCAATGCTTTGCTGTAGGATAAATTCAGCCAATGCCAAAGTCCTTTCCAGAATCAGGGCCTTGATTTTATTTTTTTTTTCTTTTAACACAAACAATGGCGTGGAGCTAACTAGGAGTCAGAACAGAGCGTCAGTGAGAATAATTGTAGCACTGTGCTAATTCTCTTTTCATCCTGGTACCCCCTGCTTCTAAGTATGGAAATCTGATTCTCCTTGTGCCTCCAATGAAGTTTATATTGATTAAATACCCAGCCCCAGCAGCAGGAGAATCCAGCCCTGAATATTTATTCTCTTCCTCTTAATACATCAAGAATTCCCTTTGGCCTCTCAAGTGCTGTATCACAGGGTGCCATGAATGCAAATGGAATTACAGTGATCATGTAGCTAATGAATACATTTGTATATGTATGCAAGCATTTCCCTACTCCACACCACCACGAGGAGCAGGGAATATCCACGTTCAGCACACACACAGGCAGGGAAGCTGTGGGAAAGGATGGGTATGGGAAGCATATCAATAGCAGGAGCCAGGCTGCAGTTTCTGGGGAGAAATGAACTGAAATCCTTCCAAGATGAAGGCTGCAAGCTCAGGACCTCACACAGACCTTTGGATCGTTTCCTCTGAAGCTTTAAAGCCCAATTTGTAGACTAGAAGTGTTCATGTTTATGTTTTCATTACCCATCAGCATCACCCTCTATTTATATAAATAGACAGAAACTGCTGCAATGCATAATGTAAAATATTGTCAGCATTTCCAAGGCATAGATCAGTGATATCATCTCAAACCAGGGTACAAAATGCACACGTAACCTTTTCACCTCCATCCTTAATAAGACATTTTGAATTCTTTTCAAACATCTTCAAATTCTTTTGAGAAAAGTTATTTCATAGGGGAATAAATTCATTCCTGCAGAAACTTGGCTGATATCAAAGTTGTAACAGCTTAAAACCAGGATGCATTTAATTTGTTAGCACGCTCCATGTTGACTTCTAAAGTCATCCTGTAATGTCCGAAAATAAATTGATTTAAATCAGGTTCAAGTACCAGTGGCAATTAGAACCTGCAAAGCCACAGAAATGTCAGGAAGTGTCTGGATCAGATACACACTGAAATATCTACAAAGAAATATCCTCAAAATCACTTTTGAGCTGGTTCAAATGCTTGGCAAGTGACTCATTCAGCACAAGAGCCATTCTTTGGATTTGCTACAGGCAGAAATTCGGGATTTTAGTGCTATTCCACTCCAGTCAATCCCAGCCCAACCCAGAGCAAACAAACCCCACAAATCAGGGTGAGAGCCCCGTTAAGCTCGGGGGGAGAGGAGGTCACTTACCCTGTGAGGACCACGACAAAATCCATCACGTTCCAGCCGTTGCGCAGGTAAGAGCCTTTGTGGAAAACAAAGCCCAGAGCGATGATTTTGATACCAGCTTCAAAACAAAATATTCCAATAAAGTACGGCTCAGTGTCATCCTGGAAAAAAGGAAATTAGAGAAGTCAAGGAGATATCCATGTTCCTGCTGTGATAACCAGTCCCCTGAACAGCTACAGGCAGCCATTCACACCTTTTCCATTCTTTGAACAGAGCTGAAATGGAAGGTTTAAAAGGTTTAACTTTGTTGGAACTAAGCTCACAGAGGAATTTCATTGTTATTTCTCTGAAATGAATTTTCTGTACAAATTGGCAATCCTATTGGCCTTCATCCTGGTGGTTTCATGCCACGCTTTCTACCTTTATGGAATGTTCCGGAGGGAATTTTGATGCAGAAATTTTGCTCTAAGTGTATATTTAAATTAGAGATGACAGGTTTCTGGAGTTATTGGCATGGAAGATGTTCCACAATTCATCCAGAAACCTGAAACAAGAGGGTGTCTTTGGGAGCAACAGTCAGCCACAGCAAGCCTGACTGCACTAACAGGAAATTATTTATTTATCATTTATTCCATCAGTTCTTTCTTTGCTCCTTCTCCTCCATTTTATCAATTTTCACAGCTGCAGCCTCATTTGTTTTCCTTTCACTGGGGATCTGGTTCAGGGAGAAATCCCCAGCCCCTCCCATGAACAGCAGGAGCAGCAAGATTTGTGTCTGGGGTCCATGGTGCAGACTAGCACCTCCCTTGGGACTGCAGATTCGTGTCCTTGCTCACTACACAGAAAATCAAGCTTGGTCTCTACAGTTTTACTAAACCTTTTATTCCATCTCTGCACCAGATCTCTCAGGATTAGACTTTATTGACTGGAGTTTTAACACAAATTCAGTGCCAAATGGAAGCATTCACATTTGGAAGGAAGATTTTGGGCAAGAAACGAGAATAAAGCAAGATGTAAAAGCAATGGGCATCAATTTCAAGAACTTGTTCATCAGCTTTGGCACCAGTAACCAATTTCCAAATGTGCCTTAGAGCCTGGTTTTCAGTTGAATTCAATGGAAGCAAAGCAGCCCTACCCAAATAAGAAGCAAACTTCTACTCTGAGAGATTAGAAATCCCTTTTCCAGTGGCTTCGGCATTTCTGGCCACCAGAACCAAAGAGCTGAGCTGCTGTTTGAGGCGTAGCTGTTTGTATTTTGCAATTCTCCCAATGACAATAGGAGATTGTTTGTTCTCTGATGGGAAAAGAGCAGGAATGTCGAGGCTTGTGGTCCCAGAACCAGGGAAGAAGCAGGTTTGACACAAGCACAGCAACTCCTGCTCAGCTCCGGCACAGACCCACACTCAGGACAGCACTTGCTCCAGAAATTGAGGTTTTCACCCTTAAAGCTGGGCCTGCTCAGTCTTGAGAGGTGATACTGAGAGGGGCCCTCAGCCCTGGGTGTCCCTCTGTGTCCCTAGCTGTCCCTGTGTGTCTCTGGCTGTCCCTGTGTGTCTGTCCCTGTGTGTCTGTCCCTGCGTCCACCAGTCTGTCCCTGTCTGTCTGTCCCTGTCTATCAATGTCTGTCTGTCCCAGTCTGTCCCTGTCTGTCTGTGGGTGTTCCTGGCTGTCCCTGTCTGTCTGTCCCTGTCTGTCTGTGGGTGTTCCTGTCTGTCCCTGTCTGTCCCAGTCTGTCCCAGTCTGTCTGTCCCCATGTCCCCCAGTCTGTCCCTGTGTGCAGCACTCAGAGCAGCCCCAGGCTCTGCTCCAGGCCCAGCGATGGCCCCAGAGCCCCGGGCAGGGCTGAGCCCAGCAATTCCCTGCCCAGGAGGCAGAACTGCTGCCCTGGGCAGTGCCAGCCCTGGCAGAGCCCAGGGAGGCTCTGGGGTCTCCCTGACTGGAACATTCCAGAACCATCAGCCCCGTGCCCTGTGCTGGCCTGGCTGGAGCAGTGACCCCACTGCGGTCCCCTCCTCCTGACCCATCTGCAACACGACAGCCAAGGAGGCTTGGCTGGACATGACCCAGCTCAGCACGTCCAGCAGAGAGCTCCAACCACCGAGGAGGCCTCCAAGGTGCTGGAAAACACAACCCTGGAGAGGCTTTTCCATCCGCTGCTGAATTCGGGTTCTATTCCCCATATCCCTACACACCTCAGGGGGAACAGCTCTTCCACACATTCCATCTTTCACCCTGTGTTACCTCTATTCCCCTCCACCTCTCTGACCTCCCAGCCCCAGCAGCTCCACCTGCCACGCCCCTGTGGTGAGGTGACAGTCACCTGCAGAGACACTCACAGGTGCTGGCTGGCCAGGCAGCAAAACAGAGCAGGGGTCTGCAAAGCTCACACTGGGCCTCTGGCTGAAATGGAGCCCAGAAAATGAAAACCCAGCCCCCAAACTGGCTCCCCCTCCAGCCAAGGAGGGGTTTGCAAGCCCTCCAAGCCCTCTGTCCCTCACAGGTGCTGCTCAGAGCACTCAGGAGCCACCACTGCCAGACCTCCAGCTGCCCATCTCAGAGCTCTTTACCCACAGACAATTTTATGACCTTCAGCAGAAATCCTACAATGAACATCTTCTTCCACCAGCTGCTCCACAGCAAGAGCTGGAGGCATCCCAGGGCTCTGACCCGGTACAGAAAAGAGGGGAAAAGGGAGAAGGGGTCAGAAATCATCCTATGTGATTCCAGGAGAAGTTCCTTAGAGCTCCTCACGGACCCAGGAGCCCTCTGACAGCCCAATCCACAGCTCCTGGCTCCAGAGCTCCAGATAATGTCTGCACACAAAGGCCTCCCAGCCCATCCCAAATCCCCATCCCACCACTACTCGCGTGCCTCTAAAAATAGCTCTTCTAACACACACAAAAAAAGCTACCTTTACCCACATCCACTCCTCCACGTTACTCCCTCACTTCCTTGAAGCCTGGTATCTACTCCAGTCTCTGCTCAATCTAGGTCAGGTGCCTGGTGATTACAGCTCCCAGCTTTAAAGAGCCAGGCTCCAGGTACTCCAGGGTTTGATGGGATGTGCTCTCCCCAAAGCTAGGGCTACACAGAGCTCCTAGGAAGTGGGTCAGAGTTTTTGTCAGCTTCTAGGGAAGCAGGAAGGCTCGCAGATGGATTTGGGTATTCATTACAAAGAAAAACTCTCATCTGTAGGGTTGGCAGGGAGTAGCTGGGGAAATAAGAGGCAAAAGAAAGAGGGTCTTTTCTAAAGCCTGCCTAAATTTACACTGATTCAGCCCAAGAATCAGGGCAGTAGCAACAAGATGAAAAATAAAATTCATGCCCCACTGGGGAGAGCTCCTGCAGCTGGAAATAAAGAGGATCTGCCTGACTGTGTGTGATGGAAGGAGGGAAGGACGTGGGTGAATGCCCTGTGCAGAACAGAAATGGCCCTGCCTCAGCCCAGGCTCCCTGCCAGGACACCCTGAAGCCCCTTCAGACCGAAGGCTGGGGCCCTGCTCAGGTTCCAGAGGGGCAGAGCAGGTGATGGTGAGGATCCCTGCGTGTACTTGGAAGGAGGGCAGTGAATCTGGGCAGCAGCCAGAGCTGTGCCAGCAAGTTGCTTGCTGTGGACACAGCAGAGCTTGAGGCTGGGCCAAACACACATTTAATCAATATGTTTCTGATCAGAAACAACTTCTGAGTCTGGAAAGTCATTACCATCCCTACTTCACGTCCTAGTGTCTTTCCTTGGCCTTCGGACGTGAGAGCCTGGAGAGGTTTGGGTGTGGAAGGCTTTGTTCATGCAAAGGTTAATATGAGCAGCTCACATATTACTGCTCTAAGTGCCTGTGGATGGGAGAAAGCATTAAATCCATTAGTAAATTGCCAGAGCTGTCACAGAGCTGAAAATCTGAGAAGTGTGATGTTCTGTCCTCACGTCCAAAATACCTGGGGGAGCCGAGCACCCCAAGCCTGCAGCCCACATCCCACAGCCCCTCTGGTGTAGAAGAGGTTTTACAGCGACTTCTGTGAGCCAGAGAAGTTTGATAAGAAGCTCCATGTTTACCCCTGGAAGAATTTTCTACCAAGGCCGTTGACATAGAAACCAAGAAAGAAAGAGGGATAAATAAGAGAAACCTGCCACTGCCTGTTCCAATGAGCACTTGGTTTGTATTTCCTGACCAATGAGTAAAGTGTAAATTATGAGTTTGTAGGAATGTAGAAAAAGCATGTATGCTAGAATAAAAACAGTTTGAAGCCTTCTGAAAATGGAGTGTTGCTTTGTATTGTCTCCATCTCAACTATGACACTCTGGTGCCTTCCAACAGGGCCTGTCCCAGGGCAGGGCAGGGCAAAAAAGAGATTTCCTGTCCTGCAAGTTCTGAAATCATCCCTGTCCTTCTGGGAGAGGTCTCCTGGAGCTCCTCATGGGAAACTGAGCAATTAGGAAGGAGATGAGGTGACAAGGAGGTCTCAGTGTGGACAGCCAAGAGCTGAGCAAGGTGAGCAAGGGAACCACAAAGCCATGGGGGGCTGGGGTGGGAAGTTCCCATTCCCACATTTGGAGCTCTCACCAGCAGGCTCTGGGCTGCTCAGAACAGCTCCCTCAGCCTCTCTGCAGCTGCATCACCCCCGTGTGCACAAACAATGCAACATTCTGTGGGACTGAGGGAGGCTGGAGATGGACATTGTTCCATCCTGGATCCAACCTGGTCCACTGGACAGTTCCTGGTGGGAGGGAAACATTCCCAGCATCCAGAGCATGTGAGACTTCCAGCTCAGGGCAGGAAAGGGCCTCGGGGCAGGTCAGTCTGCTGCTGGTAGGAGAATGAGTTTGTTCCTCGTTTGATGATCGAGGAGCTGAGCCACTCCTCTGGTCACCAGGCTGGTGCTTTCTCAGAGCGCTGTTTTTGACCAGAATTTCCAGCCCAGAGCCAAGCAATGCTTTTCTGTGCATTCTGAGAATTCTCCTAACTCAGACACTCAAAATCTTGGAATATTGCATGTACTGAGACATGTGCTCAGTTAACCCTGTCTGGCAATAACAGGAGCACAGAAAACAGCCCGATGAGATTGCACTGCAGGATCATATCCTGGGCCTTGGGGACATAAATAAAATAAAATATTGATTAAAGGACAAAAATAATTAAAATGTTTGCATGGGGTCCTCCCTTTTTTCTTCAGCTTTAACAAACAGACAACTTTATATTTTTTTTTTCATTGTTTCTATGGAACAAATTATCTGGGCAACTTCAGTTTTCCTTCAAAAACTCTGCCAAGATCTCCCAGTCACAAAAGTTTTATGACGTGCACCCCTCATATCTTTAATATCTGATTAACTCTTCACTGATTATCTCAAATTCTGAGATTTTAATGAATCCAGGAGGAAAAAAACAAAAGCCATATCCATTAACCATTGCCCAAAAAAAAGACAAATTCCATTCCTGCTAATGGCCAGCAGTAAAGCACCTGCTGTCTGCATGGACTTAGAATTTGGCTGAACAAACCTGAAAATGTATGGGAAATGTATGGGAACGTTTCCCCACTGTGGTTTAGTGTGGATTTGTAACATTTTTGATGAAACAACTTCCAGTTTATAGAAGTAACAGGAGATTTCTAAAGAGGCTCCACTTTGAAAACTAGAAGACAGTTTTTCTTACTCACAATGCTTATTCTTTCCAGCTTATGTTGAAAATAAAAAGTATTTGATGACTTGTAAAGATTCTCAGTGCTACTCTATGAAAAATCACTTTATACTTCAGAGTTAAAAATGTGCTGTAGTTAAAATGGCTTCAGGGTATCTGGATCAAACATAACAGTGCTTGGGACAAAAATGAGGGGTTAATTCTTCCTTCCTCTCCGAGGCAGAGCCAACAGGGCAGAGATTGCACATTGAACTCACACAGCTCTGACATGCTCGGTGGCAATGCCAGTGCCCCCCTTGGGAATGCTTCAGGCAGGATCTGAAGGTGTGTGCGCTGTAAAATGGAATTAATACACTTGGGGAAAGGACAATAAAATGCCTCTGGGATGCCCTTATAAATCGAGAGAAACATAAAACCAACATGAACCAAAGGATTGCCAAGCCAGAACCTCCCTGAAACTGCTTTTCCTTACGTTTATAACCACGGAAGGCACTTTCCCAGCTCACTCCTGGCTCTGAACCTCTGCTCTGCTCACACCCCCAGGCTGGCCTTGCCAACCAACCCCAAAGCACGCAAAGACAGGTTCAATGGCAGAAAGATCTACATACAATCATTGATTCATTTTATTCTCATGTCTTCTTCATTAAAAAGAATTCCAGCAGAGAGAGAAAACAAGCTCTATGCAGGAGGATAGCCAGCAGGAGTGGCTCCATTTCCAAACCAGCACCAAATTCTGACCCTGACTCTCCAGACTGCTCACTTACACACTTTTTCCTGCTTCTGGAGAATGAGATTCTGAGAGTTGCCCACTGGCATGGGCCGTCCTTGGGAACTGCAGCAACCACTATTCAGAGGCTCTTGTTTCTGGCAGCAAGCCTAATGTTATCTTTGTTTGCATAATATAGCATCTACATGGAAAACACATATGGATCCCTATTTATCCATCCTTTGAACGTGCACCAGGATTAATGCATTTGGGCATGCAAGACGTTCCAGATCATTAAAAGTAGGAGAAAAATCAAACCAAGAATTACACAGTTTTCCTACAGGGATGATAAATGGGAGAATTATTTTGAAGCCATTCTTCTATTTTCTTTTGAAATAAGGTAATTGGTCTCATTACCATAAAGCCTGCGGGTAAATTATTTTTCTCTGTAAGCTGGTTGCATTTTTTGGGGGGGAAAGAAAGTGTAATCATCTGAGCCCAAAGTTTGCTTTGAAGGATCTGTGCTGTGGCAGGAAGAGACACACAAATCCTAAAAGGTTACTCTGTTCTACCACTCCCTGGGAAAATTAAAATTACAAAGAAATTAATTTGACTCCAAAGATAATTCTAAGCATTCCTCAGCTCCTTCCTGTCCTGGTTTAGAGACAACCTAAGTTTGAAGCCCTTCTGACCATAGCACAAGGTCCAGCTCTCTCCGTGGCTGGGCAGGGCTGGCTGGAGTGATGAAGCATTCTTGTGCAGATGGGATCAGGCGGGGACCATTACCTTGCTGCGACAGATTTTTTTTCTGATTGTCAGATCAATACCTGTCTTTTTACGTGTGGATCTTTAAAATAGATCCAAACACTCCCAATACTCAGTGGCCAACTGCTTTTTGTATTAGACCAGGAGAAAAAAAAATAAAAAAGAAAATGAATGAATGCAACTCACCAATCTTTCTGACATCGGTGTCTTGTCTCCATCCGGCAAATGTTGTTCCAGAGCCAGCACAATACAATTGGCTATGATTGTAGCTAATATCATATATTCAAATGGAGTGGGGACCAGAAGTTAAAGAAGACACTGGACAATACAAGAAAAACCGCATTCAAATTCTGTTTCTACCCACAAAGTTGCATTAATTGAGCATTCTAAGATTTCGTGTATTTGGTCTCCTTGACTTCCTCAGTTCTTTCTGGGGTGTGTTTGGAAGAGAAGTAGGAAATTGTCAATTCTCTTCTTTAAGAGAGTTAGAGACTCACACAATCTGAGCTGCTCAAGGAATCCGGGAGCAAGAAAGCGCAAGGTCCAAAGGAAATGAACAACTATTAATACGTATTGATTTTCAATGAGATTGATAAACTAAATTGCCTCCTAACAGATTATACAACTAAACACCATCTGATGAATTTTTCTTCAGAGACATTTAACTTCAGCACACAGTGCAAATAAGTGATGGGCACAAAAAGTTCCATTTAGAGTACCTACCCAGGTCTAAAACATGAATTACTGCTCAATTGCAATGCCTGCTCTCAGTGAGAATAAAACCCTCAGCGCCCTTTTGGGATGTAGGAGGGAAGTGGGGAGGGAAAAGAATCCCAATCTGGCACCGGGTCTCCTCTTGCTTTTTGCCACCATCTCCCACCCTGAGTTGTGCTGAGCCCCAGCTGTCCCAGGGTGGAGCCGTCCCACAGGCGGTAGCAGGGGCCGAGGGTGGGCGATGGTTCCGCTCAGCACCACGGAGAGATGGACCCAGACCAGGGAGAGATGGACCCAGACCAGGGAGAGATGGACCCAAACCATGGAGAGATGGACCCAGACCAGGGAGAGATGGACCCAGCACCACGGAGAGATGGACCCAGACCAGGGAGAGATGGAACCAAACCATGGAGAGATGGACCCAGACCAGGGAGAGATGGACCCAAACCATGGAGAGATGGACCCAGACCAGGGAGAGATGGACCCAAACCATGGAGAGATGGACCCAAACCATGGAGAGATGGACCCAGACCAGGGAGAGATGGACCCAGACCAGGGAGAGATGGAACCAAACCATGGAGAGATGGACCCAGACCAGGGAGCGATGGACCCAAACCATGGAGAGATGGACCCAGACCAGGGAGAGATGGACCCAGCACCATAGAGAGGTGGAACCAGCACTATGGAGAGATGGACCCAGCACCATAGAGAGATGGAACCATCACTATGGAGAGATGGGCTCATCACCATGGGGAAATGGAACCAGCACCATGAAAAGATGGACCCAGCACTGCAGAGAGATGGACCCAAGACCATGGAGTGATGGGATCAGCACCGCGGGGAGATGGGCCCAGCACCGCGGGGAGATGGGCCCAGCACCGCGGGGAGATGGGCTCAGCACCATGGGGAGCTCCTCGGAGCACGGCGGAGAGCTCAGCTCAGCACCAGGGACAGAGCCGAGCCGCGCCGCAGGCACAGCCACGCTGGAGGGCTCAGCTCAGCACTCGGTTTGGCAGCGTGGAGAGATTGGTTCAGCACGGCGGGGAGCCCAGCTCAGCATCGTGGTCGGCCTGGCTCAGCACCACCGTCAGCCCGGCTTAGCACCACAGTGAGCTCAGCTCAGCACCGTGGTCGGCTCAGCTCACCACTGGGACCAGCCTGGTTTCATAACCGTGGTCAGCACAGCTCAACACCGTGATAAGCTCATCCCAGCACCGTGATCAGCTCAGCTCAGCACTCTGGTCAGCCTGGCTTCAAAACCATGGCCAGCTCAGCTCAACGCCGTGATAAGCTCAACCCAGCACTGTGCTCAGCTCAGCTCAGCACCACCATCAGCTCAGCTCAAGCACTATGGTCAGCCCGGATACAGAACCGTGCTCAGCCTGGTTTCAGCACCGTGCTCAGCCTGGTTTCAGCACCGTGCTCAGCCTGGTTTCAGCACCGTGCTCAGCCTGGTTTCAGCACCGTGCTCTGCTCGGCTCAGCACCGTGCTCAGCCTGATTTCAGCAACGTGCTCAGCTCGGCTCAGCACCGTGCTCAGCCGGGTTTCAGCACCGTGCTCAGCCTGGTTTCAGCACCGTGCTCAGCCGGGTTTCAGCACCGTGCTCAGCCCGGCTCAGCACCGTGCTCAGCTCGGCTCAGCACCGTGCTCAGCCTCGTTTCAGCACCGTGCTCAGCCTGGTTTCAGCACCGTGCTCAGCCTGGTTTCAGCACCGTGCTCAGCCTGGTTTCAGCGCCGTGCTCAGCTGAACCCAACGCCGCGGCCAGCGCCCGGCCCCGCCCGCCGGCCCCGCCGCTCGGGCGCGGGGAAGCGCCGGTGGCTCCGCCGGTCCCGCCGGCCCCGCCGCACTGGGGGTCCCCTCCCCACATCCCCCGGAAAGATGCGGCCGAATCGCCCAAGAGGCAGGGAAGGGAAAGCCTGAATCTACCCGCGCAGTCAAGGCGCTGCTCTGCCTGTCACCGGGGGTTTGGGGCTTGTTTATCCAGACTGAAACGCAAGGGAAGGAGAAATGGATGAGGAAATGCAGCAATCGCTGGGATTGTATAATATAGACAGAAAGATCAATACTTGTTTGTGTGCGTTCGGAGAGAAGGGAAGTGCATTGACTCCATTGGTGTATTTTTCCTGTTAGCCCCTCAGGAAGTGAAAACTGGGGAAGTCTAAGCACGAGCTGGCCTGTGTGGCAACTGAAAGTGTTGCTAGGAGGCTGGGAGGAGGCCCTGGTGCTGTTAGATGAGGATCAATAGGGGTGTGATATGAAATGAAAACAACCAGCTCCCCTGAGACCCCCAGTGTAAAGCACTCGTGTACACGCACACAAAATCTGCTCCCCTCTGCTCACGGCTTACAAAATCATTCTGAGCAAAGCCCCCTTCTCACCGCAGCTCACTTGGCCTGGGAGCTGGGTCGCAGACAGAAAGCATCTGCCCCTTTCACAGTACAGCAGATGATCCCTCTCCCCACTTACTGCCTCCTTCTGCCACAAGGTTTTGCTAATTTTAATTTTTTTTTTTTTTTTTTCAGGCAGCCTAAGCTTAGGCTATGCACCTAATCGAAGTGCCATGATTCATGTTGATTCGAATGGATTCCGGGGAGGATGTGCTCAAACCGAGCTGCAGTGATTGCATTCCTGGGATTTACCTGGGCTCTCAATGTCCCTACTATCAATGCAGCTTCAGTGCTAAGGTGTCACCATTTTTATCCCACATTCCTTCTTCTATTCACAGGAAGACCGAAGAGTTGAAAGGCTCCCAGATGGAAATAAAAATCAGGATTCACGGGCACAAATCTCACAGACCTGACTTGAATTGTAGGAAACGTCAATCCATGCACCTGTACATCTCACCCCTAAAGACACCCTGACATGGCTTATACACCCCAGGCATCAAGCACACCGAAAGGACCCTCGGTGCTCCCACAGAAGCAATTCTCTGATTCTCTGATTCCCATATTCCCATATTTCCACTGCCATGGCCGTGCATCATGTCGGGCACACGGCTCCCGGCACACACACCCATGGCACAGCCCGATCACACCGTCTGCAGCAGCAGCAGCCGCTCGCCCTGCGCTGCCTGGAGGGGTCTCTGCCCCTCAGCCTCCCTCTCCCCCTCCCCACCTTCCCCCCGTGCCCACACAGCCTCCCTGAAAGGATATGGCCACTCTGTTATTCGCTTGGCGTATTTCCGTATAACATTATCTTCACTGAAGATGAAGAGGGATCTGTTGACTGTGAAGCAGTTCTGTTTGACAGGGATGGGGTTGTAGAGAGCCATAGTCCTGGCTCTCTGAGCCATCGTCTGTTTATACATCCTTTGGGCGGCTTGGGGGCCACCTTGCCGGCTGCTCCCTCTTCCAGCCCCGGCCGGCCCTCCACCTCCATAGCGGGTCGGCAGATCATCCCCAAACCGAGCCATCCTCGCAGTGCACGGAGCCGGGCGCTACAATCCAAACTGGCAGCCGAGGCGAGAGGAAGACGCATCACAGCGCGCAGCACTTCTCCCTCCGGGGGCTTCGGCAGCGGGATCGGGATCGACCGCGGCAAAAATAGATCGATATATAATAAAACAAAAAATCTCCCTTTTCCTTCCTCCACCCCCTGCGCTTCCCCGCCGCTGTGGCTGCCCGGGGGTAGGAGGAAGGCGCCGGGATCCGCTCACCTCCCCGCACAGGTGGCGTCTCTCCGGGCCGACCTCATGGCCGGGGCGGCGCGGGGTGGCCGCGGTGGCCGCGGTCCCTTTGGCGCCGGGGCGCTGGGCTGGGAAGGGGCTGCGCTGCTGCCGTGCCCGCCGCGGGAGCGCTCCGCCGTGCCCAGCCCAGCCCGGCACGGCTCCGGCACGGCCCGGCCCCGCCGCATGTGATGCCCGGAGCCAATCGGCCGCCGCGGCTCCGCCCGCTCCAGTCACCGGCACCGGGGGGCGGGCGGGGAGGGAGGAGGGAGGATGGAGCCGGCCCGGCCCGGCCGCCGCCGCCCACCCCGGTAGATACGGCGGAGCCGCGGCCACTCCCCGGGGAAGGAAGGAGGGCTCGATCCCCCCCGCCCCTGCGCAGCGCCCCGGCCGGGGTGCCGCCGCTCGGATGGGTGGGGGGCACAGCGAGGCAGCCCCCGCGCCTGCGCGCCGCTGCCCAGATGTGGCTGCCCAGATGTGGCTGCCCAGATGTGGCTGCCCAGATGTGCGCTGCCCAGATGCGCGCGGCCCGGCCGCTGCCCGCACGGGCGCCCCGAGCCGCGGCTCCCGTCACCCCGCCGGTGCCCTCTGAACCCCGCGGGGGTGTCACGGTGTGAAATGGGGTGCGGGGCTCGGGGTGCTCCGCTGGCAGCCCCCGGGGGCTCGGGGCTGGGGCACGGGCGGCTGCGGGGCGGGGGATGCGGTCCCCGCAGCGCTCGGGGCGCTGGGGCGGTGCGGGGATGTGCGGCACGGGCTGGCTGCAAGGAGAGCTGCGCCCTTCTGCACAACTTACTTTGTTTCTCCTTGGTTTGAATGACTCCTGCAGAGCGCTGGATATCTTTAATCCTGTATTTATGGACGAAATCCTTTAATCCTGTTTATTCCAACACCCTCTGTTGCTTCCCTCCAGCACAAGTCAGAGAGATAACTCCTCCTTGTTCCTGGAGCGCCGCACGGCAACAGTCACTGCAGTAGCTGGCGAGGAAATGCTTTTGCATTTTAGGCTAAATTTGGGGTAGAAACTATTAACTTTGAGCAGGGACCTCCGGAGAAGTCGGGGCTGTCAACAGGGGGACATTTGCACTTGCTCCAGAGCAAGGAAAGCCTGGACTCTGCCGCTAATGTGTTTTTTGCCTTAGTCATCCAAGCTCAGTGCAAAACCAACCCACCGACCAGGCAAGCCTGGAGCAGTAACATCTGCTGGCTTCAGGAGCCAGCCAGAGGCTGGCAGCAGCCACAAGTGACACAAATAAGGCCTGGCAAGACGCAAAGGGTGACTCTCCGGAGGGAGCCGGGGCTCGCAGTCTGAAGGGCTCCCGCACACTGCAGCACAGGCAGGAGACGCTCCCGGAGGCGGCAGCGGCAGCCGAGCGGAGCCGGGAGCGGCTCTGAGCACGGCAGCAGCGAGGGAAGGACGTGAATCACAGCCCGCTGCCTCCAGGGTGGCAGGCAGCGGAGCCGCCAGCCCCCGGCACCGGCTGAGGTCTGCGAGCCCTGCGGACCGGGGCAGCGCCAGGCTGCGCCCTGCCTTCCCCTGCACTCGCTGGCAGTGCAATAAAAGACCTTTTCCCCTCCCCAGGTTTGGGTAATTGGCGGATTAAGCTGAGAGCTGGAGGCTTTGGGAAGAACTTTGCCCGGAGACACATGCCGGAGTGGCTCAGCATCCCTGTTCCGCTCAGACGGACCCTGGGCAGAGATTCAAACGAGTGTTTCCTCCCAGGATCTTCACCCCCGAGCGCTGCTGGGCCGATCCACACAAACGGGGAAGTTCCCTTATTTTGTGGATGGAGAAGGAGGGTGCAGGGAACTCTTATTTCTTTAAAATTTCGCCTAAAAAACGTTTTTATCCTCACTACATTGTATCCTATGATGGATTTATCTTTCATTTGAAAGTCAAGTTTCCCCCAGCTGACATATTTGCTCATTTCATTTTTATTACATTTACTTACTTAGTGGTTTAATTTTCCACTTTTGTGCTTCTGGCCACTATATCTCCTACATCCTTTTTCAGTGAAAAAACCTGACTTTTTCTCAGTGACTAGAAGAAGAAATGTCATTTTCAATAACCCCTCACCTCTCCAGATGGAAATCAGTATATGGAGAAAAAAAATACATTGCTTTCCACAAATCTTCATCCTCCTGTGCTTACAGAATCAGAGGGATGGATGACACAACAGCTCTGAAAAGACAAAAAATTATAAAGAAAAAAAAAAACAACTGTCTTTTGCATCAGGTCTTATTGAGAATCAGGGAAAATCCTGACCTCCACACCCTCTTCTATCCTCCTACTGCCTCTCCCAGAACAAACTCCCCACCACAGCACTGCAGTGAAATCAGCAGCCAGGGCAGTGGGGGTGTTCGTGACAGTGAGAAAATGATGTGAGCGTGTCATGAGGATGCTCTGTTAAACCAGTCTGCCCTTTCCTCAATCTGCATGCTCAGGGCTTTTTTCCTGGATTGTTTTTTTTCACACCCTAAGGAAGATCACGCAGACCTTAAGCATTGAAAGCCTTAAAGAAGAGAAGGAGATTGCAATTGCAAGGATTATTTGGCTTTTAGAGGAGAAGCGTCAGGATTTAGTCAGGCTTTTTAAGATTAGGAGAAAAGCAGGCGAGTTAAGAGAAAGCAAAAAATTTGGAGCACCGAAACAGGTCAGACATCCATAATCTCCCATTACGGGAGGGCAAAGAGCATTCCATGGAAAATTCTAAAAATGGGCTCGGTCATGAGTGACCCCTCCTCGCAAGCCCCGGAGACAGAGGTGAGTAAATCACTCTGCTCTCCAGCACTGCTTAGCAAGGAGCCTTCCTCCTCCCCGAGCAGCTTTGCCAGGCAACCAAGCATTTCCCTGGACTTTCACTTCCATCCCGAGCCTGAGGCAGGTGACTGGGCTCAATGGAGCAGCACTTCCATCTGGCAAGGCACAGGCAGGGCAGAGAAAACGGCCCAGGGTGGCAGGATGCTCCTGCCAGGGGCCCGGGACTCTGGCACCATGGCAGGCACCCGTGCCCTGTGTCTGCCCTGCCCCAGGAGCTGCTGGGACAGTCTGGATCCATCTCTGCAGGGGTTTCTGGGGAAATCACAAAGTGAATTTCCAGCTTGCTGTGCTCCAGAGGCAGCAGCACAGGCTTCCAGCGTGAGGGACAGCGGCTAAAATTGAGGGACACAGCCCCCAACATCCCCCTCCGAGCAGGACAGAGTGGGGACGTTTGCAAAAACAGCAGCAGGACAGAAGATTTCTTCCTTTAAGAGAGGAAAGTAGTCCCACCATGCTCTGACTTCCCTGGAACCTGCCCTACACCTGGAGTAGCTCAGAGGGAAGGTCAAAGCTCTCCAGAGTACCTTTTGTCCAGGTGAGCTCGGGGAACTGCAGGTAGGCTGTTATTTACTCAGAGTTTGCAAGGCTGAGGAGCCGAGGAGCACTTTCAATCCCATCTCAAGGCTCTGGATCCAGGGTAATGCCAAACAGAGCAGCTCCCAGGAGCACATTTCCTTTAAAAATAAACAAACAACACAGACTGCACATCTCCTTCCAGCCCACAGGAAGGTTCAGAGCTTCAGGCCAAGAAAAGCAGCTTCCCGAGGTGCTCCTGGCCAGGAATTCCTGCTCTCCTCACTCCCATTTTGCACCAGCTGTGCTGGAGGAAAATCCTGCTGCCACGCAGGCAGAGCAAATTGTTAAAGCTGGCACTCAGGTCTGCCAGAGGATGTAGAATGGCTTTATGTAAAATCCTTGAGGAAGGTGCTCTGATACATTTTCTCGAGAATAAGAGACTGAACAAAGGGAAAAGCAGCCTTTTGAAGATACAGCTCCTCCCATGCGAGTCCTGATCATGGCATTGTTTAGTCTCCTAAACCCCCAGGGCCAATCACCCTCAGCTGCTGCACAAATGTGGAGCAAGAGAGTCCCTGAGCTCCTTGTTTGGGGAGGGGGCAGTGCTGGCAAAGCCCCCGGGCTGGCACAGCAATTCCACCTCGGCACGAGGGGCTGGAGCCATCCCCATCCCACAGCCCCACGCAGCTCTCCAGGCCACCACAGACCAAGGCAGTGCTGAAAGGATCAGCGGAGATGGGTTTGAGGGAATGGAGGCAGAGAGCCTGGGACCCAGAGCAGGGCAGGGAGAGCATCAGGAGCTGGCAGTGCCCGCTCAGCACCTTCCCCACCCTGCTGAGCCCAGGGGAGCAGCAGCTTTGTGCTCACGCTGCTCCTCCCAAACTGAATCCCTCCGTAGGTGGATCACGACTCCAAACCCTGGCTGTGGCAGGAGCCAGCTGAGTTCAGTCCCAGCGAGCTCAAAAACGATGTTTTCAGCTCAGAAAAGACTTCAAGAAGCAGGACCAATGTCTGAACAATACCACGCAGGAAAATTCACAGGAAATAACCAGGAAATCACAGGACACAGGGACACAAAGCTGTTCATGGGTTGAAGAGGCACAGGACACCTCAGTGGGGCTCAGAGTTCACTTCTGAGCTCCAGCACCACCAGAACAGGGTTTTGTCTGTGGGGAAGCAACATGTTTGCACATAGACAGTGCCTGTGGCAGGCAGCTGTGAAAAGATGAGACATAAAAGGGACTTTAAAGAATATTGAGCCTCATATTTTTATTTTCCACAGTATTTCTAAGATCATTTCTACCCCATTAGTCTCCAAGACTGGCCAGCAGAGAAAGACAATTTCACACCTTCTCTTTCATTATTTAGACTCAATTTAACTGGGGACTTGATCACCAGCAGAGGGAGATTTGGGGAGTCTTTGCCTGTCTTTCAGTACATATCTGTCTGTGGTAAATGATTAGACATCTAATCCTCCTTAAGATTCAGGTCTCTCCTCTCCTTAGGCTCTTCTGAACATTTGCCTGGATGCTTCTCAGCATCTCGATGTCAAAACAGCTTTTCAAATCCAGCTTTGTCTGAACTGGAGTCGTGTACAGGCTCAGCTCTGCATGAGCTTCACTCTGGGAATCCAAGAGGCAGAAGCATCCTGGGAACTGACAGAGCACCATGCCCAGATCTAGAGCCAGGTGGGCAAAAACGCCAGAGAAATTTGGGGATTTCACCAGTCACTCGCCCAAAGTTAATGCAAGCTGACGACCAAAACCCAGCCCTTCTGTGCTTGTCCCCACAG